CTCGCGCGGCCCGCGCCCTCCGGTCCGTCGTGTGCGCCGCGCTGGCCGGGCGCCTGGCGCGCCAGCCGCCCTGGGCGGAGTAGTTCCACATTTCTGCCCCTATAAACTTCAATACTCCTTTTAGATCGTGTTTCACAAAAAGAGTGGGTATATGTATAGATAATAATAAATAATTCTAAAGACCCACTATACCTATTAGACCCACCCCCATAAAAAAGAGGGGTATGGCTGTGTATAATAATTACTATCTTGAGGGTGTAGAGTGAGAGTGAAGGTGAGAATGGAAGTGAGAGTGAGGTTCGCTAAATTTGCTTCATTGTGCAGACCATTTTTTGGTATTGAACGATTGCGTATTGCTGTGATATGTGGGGGTCTCAATTAAACTGATATTGTTGGCATAAGAAAAATTGATGAATGTGAGTGTTACGATTAGTGGGCTTGCTTTTTTCTAGACCCCTTAAATCCATTTCTTCGCGGAAATAGTTGCGTCGTTTCTTTATTTGGAATTCAGAAAGAATTAGAAAAGACCATAGAGTCCTTTGTACACATTCATCAGTATTAGAAACTTAACATGAAGCATCGAATCAAAGAGAAATTTCGATTCCTAGAAAATTTTTTCTATGAATGAACAAAACCAGACTTAAGATCGGAGTGAGACGAGGTGAGGGAAGAGTTTTTCGGGGCAGCGCGAGGCGGAAATCAAAAAAAGTCTCCCAGTTTCGGTCTCTGTTTTCAAATTCTCCATCTGTGATATTTGTGATTCTTTTTCTACCCATCTGTTAGGGATCTAACAATACCTATATGGTATGGGAGTATTGATATTGGTACAAAACGTGTTACTTTCGAGAAAGCTGTTAGCGCAATCTCTTCGGGATTAAAATGTGAAACACGACAAAACTGTTAGTTCTTATCAGATAAAGTATTGTTTTATCGATTTCTGGATTCTTTCTTTCATTATACTTTAGTGCATCAGCTACAAATGCAAAACCGACACAGCTGAAAGGTTTTATCGAGATTGTAGCCCTATCCGGTCCTTACTTGTACGCTCATACGATTCATGACAGTCTACAACGACGTCCAGAGGTGTCTATCGAGCTGTATCATAGTCATAGCTCCACCTTTATATCCTTCCTGCATTTCTAATACTGTTTGTGATGGATCCAAACCTTGTCTCTCAGGGTCTGGGCATATATGTAAAACTTGAAACTTGAATTCAATTGAAATTTCAAGTTTAAAGTTTCAAGCCTCAAATGGGCAGCACTTTGAAGAATCGCCACTAATCCGCATTCTCACACACACATCATCGCAGCTGGTGAGGGTGCGGCGAAAGGACTGGCCACGAAACGACACACATCACATCGCACCTGGTGAGGGTGCGGCGAAAGGACTGGCCACGAAACGACACACATCACATCGCAGCTGGTGTGGGTGGCGCGAAAGGACTGGCCACGAAACGACACACATCACATCGCACCTGGTGTGGGTGCCGCGAAAGGACTGGTCACGAAACGACACATATCACATCGCAGCTGGTGTGGGTGGCGCGAAAGCACTGCCCAGAAAAGGACCGGTCGCGAAACGACTTGAAAGTTGAAAGTTGAAACTTGAAACTTGAAATTTCAGTTGAAAGTTGAAATTTCAATTGAATTCAAGTTTCAAGTTTGACACTACTGGGTCTGGGAAGGGTAACTAATTAATTAGACTGTAGTTAGTTAATTAATTAATTAAAATGTCTTCAGAAGTAATTCAAATCCCTATTCTTAACGCTTTAACTCGTCTTCGTCTGTCTGCAATGGTGGATGACGGTGGAATCACCTGTCGCTAACGGTCTGTGATGGAGTAATCACCTGTCAGTAACAGTCTGTGACGGGCAAATCACCTGTCGGTAACGGTCTGTGATGCTGGAATCACCTGTCTGTAACGGTTTGTGATGCTGGAATCACCTGTCTGTAACGGTTTGTGATGCTGGAATCACCTATCTGTAACGGTCTGTGATGCTGGAATCATCTGTCTGTAACGGTCTGTGATGGGGTAATCACCTGTCTGTAACGGTCTGTGATGCTGGAATCACCTGTCTGTAACGGTTTGTGATGCTGGAATCACCTGTCTGTAACGGTCTGTGATGGGTGAGTCACCTGTCGGTAACGGTCTGTGATGGGTGAGTCACTTGTCGGTAACGGTCTGTGATGGGTGAGTCACCTGTCGGTAACGGTCTGTGATGGGTGAGTCACCTGTCGGTAACGGTCTGTGATGGGTGAGTCACTTGTCGGTAACGGTCTGTGATGGGTGAGTCACCTGCCGGTAACGGTCTGTGGGGGGGGGCCGGGGGATGGGTCCAAATTTCTACCCTTAACACTTCAACACTCCTTTCAGGTCGTGTTTCACAAAAAAGTCACAGGATTTTAATAATTTTTTTAAAATTTTTTCTGGAAAAATTGCAAAAAAACTTGTTTTTGTCAAGCGATTACCATACTAGCATCAATAAGAATTTAGAAAAACTCCACCAAGAAAAAAATTTGAATGATTTTACCAAAGTCGATTGTTTTTTCTTTGTAATAAGTTTTGAACCCTCATAGAGATCAAAATTTTAAAACTTCAACGAAAGCTCTTGGTGATTCGGTTTCAGATCCTTACCGGATCTAATCAGGAAACTTCAAGAATAGACTATTTTTTTCTGAAGAAACGCCTAAATCCTGAAAAATCGTGTGGTGAGAGTATTTCAAGATCCTGACAGGATTCGATCAGGACTCTGAACAGATTACCATAGTTTTTCGATCAGGAATCGTTCAGGAAACTGTTAATTCCTGAAGGAAGCATGTGTCACGAAATTTCAAGATCTTAACAGGAGTTGAAACAGGATTTGATTAGGATCTTTAGTAGTTTCCAACTGTTTTCTGAACCGAGAGTCATTCTGGACGCAATATTTGGCCCTGAATGTGAATGCGGGTTCATCTAATGTTGTCTAACAGTCTCAGTCAGTGGTTCATCGTCCTGTTGGATTCTTGTTGTGATCCTCGTCAGATATAGCTGCAATTCATCGAATCCTTGTACCAAGATCCTGATTAGATCCTAAGCAGCATCATGATTGAATCTTGAGAGGACCCAGCACTCATCATTTAGAAAAAAATCTGGGCAGGAACCTGAAGAAATCCTGAGCAGGATCCTGTGTTACCGTGCAAAATCCTGAAAACAGAAATTATCAGGAATTTAGCAGGATCCTCAAGAAAACTTAGCAAGATCCTTGAGATTCAGGATCCTGACGGATTCTTCCTGGATTTCTTAAGGAATGGACAGGATTGAGACAAGGGATGATATAATTCACTAGCCATTATTTCTTAGTATGTGACAAGAAGGTTTTTGGCCCCACTGGAGCAGAAGAAATCGCAGACAGTGTGAAAGACCTGTAGTACATAGTAAACATATAACGCTAAATAACTGCATAATATCTAATACATACGATAAGATCTTTAATTAGAAGCATAAATTTTATTTCTAACGCCGTGTTACCAATATTCTCCTATTTTCCCCTACTTGTAGTAGCTGCTGCAAGACAACTTGGGTGTGGGTGGTTTGTCTCCTCGTAATGCACACACATCCACACCCTAGACCTTGGAACCATCAGGCTCATGTTGATCATTGCTTTTAAACAGTAATAAATCAAATGATTCAAAACATCTTTTTCTCAGAAAAGACTGAGTAACAACAAAATCACACACGAAACTCCTTATCTATTTCTTCCATCTCAACATTACACGACAACATCGTCTGACTCATTCTGCTGAAGTCCATGACTTTTTCACTGTTGTTTCAGCCTTGAGAAGGATCTTCGTTTTATCTCTTTTCTTATTGTTTTCTTTTTTTCCCACTTTCTCATCTGTACGCAAACAAAACTTAGTCATAGTTTGATAAGTAACTGTTGCCTTGTCGACCAAAAACAACGGCTTAAAACTTGTATATAAACAGAAGACGAAAGTCAGTATTTCTCAATAAAATCATGTTTAACTTCAACATTGTTGCTCTCCTGTTAACTATTGTTGTCAACGTTCTCAATGCTACAACCTACATCTGTGACACACAATTTGACTGTGGTTGTTCAAAATATCACACAACCGTCATGAACACCCGTATTGTCGGTGGTGAAGAAGCGCAAATTGGTACATGGGGTTGGGCAGCTTCTCTTCAGATTCGATATGATGGATTACACTTTTGTGGAGGTACAGTCATCGATGAGCGACATATTATAACAGCAGCGCACTGTTTTCCTTGGATACATAAACAGGGGTTTGATCCAGTTGACGTTGTTCGGGTTCTTATCGGGGCTCATGATAAGTCGTCTCCGGAGCCAGATAACGCTCAGTTCTTTGATCTTCTCAGTGTAAGAAGTCATCCTCAGTATGACAAAGATGATCAACAAAGTAAATTTGATATTGCAATACTCACTCTGCGGCAAACTATTGACTTTCAAGGAAGTCCATTCATTTCAAGAGTTTGTCTACCATCATTTAATTCAACTCCGGTAGATCTTTCAAATCCAGAATATCCAGCTGTTGGAACAAATCTCGTTGCAATTGGATGGGGTGACCAACGATCAGGCAGTGGACAGGGTTCACGTACATTGAGACAAGTGACTATACAAGCAATTGATAAAGATGATATAACTTGTCAGCGGTGGTTGGAAAAGGATTCAATGACACAGTTGTGCGCTGCTGCTTTAGAAAAAGGTAGACCACCTCTCTAGTTTCTCTTTTAGGCCTTTTTAATGTCGATTTCTTTCTGTCTTTCTCATTCAAAGATACCTGCCAAGGTGATTCTGGTGGTCCTCTCATGCAATGGCGACAAGACAAAAAAGTATGGGAACTGATTGGTATTACAAGTTACGGACTTGGTTGTGCAAATATCTTACGTGCTGGTATCTATACTCGTGTTGCAGCTTATCTTGATTGGATTCGACTGAATACACCGACGGCAGCACCGACTCTTCCTACTCGTTCAACAGTAAGGACAACGAAAGCAACAACAGAGACAAGAACAACAGTTCTTACCGGAGGTCAAACACAAAATCCAGATAACAGTGGAACAAAGGCTAGTCGCTGTGGTATAATGTTGGCAATCAATAGTGTTTTCGCGATGTTTTTTTATCTAAAGTTTTGAAGTGATTCTTTATAGATTTTTCTCGTGTGTGATTCTAATTAGGGGATGAGGTGCTTTACTTTTACTTTAGTGGTAAATATATAAATAAAATAGGCGTGTGGGTGGCGACATTCTCTAACGAAAATTCACACTCACAATCCACAGCCCACTCTCTTTTTTTTCTATTTCATATACCAATATAATTGCGTATGCTTTGTAAAAAAGCTTGTTAGCGCAGCTCCTTTGGGGCTGAAATGTGGAACTCACATATGTTCTTCAGCTTCGTTATATTAATAAGAAATACAGAAGGTGCAAAATAAAGAATTTGTTATTTTTCGTTTTCTGACGGGCGCCCAATTTTTATTTTCATTGTTACTACTCGCTCATTATTTTTTTTTTCTAATTCGGTTTTCTTAATTTATCATTCTTATTATTATAATCATTGAACTGATTGATAAATAAGTGTGTTTTACATATCTATGACATATACAGCAGATCTTACACACTATGATATACATTAATCAAGTCACAAATAATGACATTTATTATTTTTCAAAATAATAACTTGATCAATTTTCCAAAAAAAAACTAGAAAATCTAACATCTTTTATATTGATTGCTAAGGTCTGTAATGGGGGGGGGGGGTCTGTAATGGGGAGTTCCGTTGCTTTGCTCTGTAATGGAGACCTGTCTGTAAGGGGGAGGGGGGAGCAGCAAAAACTCGAACTTAAAACTAATACTCAGTATTTTCTTCGAAAATAAATATGAGTTCCACAAAATGAGTTAAAAAAATCATTGTGCAAAACAGATCCTTTGTCCTGTTAGGACCAACTTTTTTATGCTGTCATACAGTCTTCAAAACAAGATCGCTGTATGAAAGTATCATGGAGAATGCAGAGAAGAACAAAAAAAATCGTCTTTTGTGTAAACATAACAACGAGAATATTCGTTGTTAGATTAAAAAAAGCTTGTTAGTGCAGCCCCTTTGGGGCTGAAATGTGGAACTCACATATGCTCTCTTGCCTCATTCGACTGATACAAAATGCGTAAACTAAAAAATCTCTCTTAGACTATAAGTGTTTTGCAGGAAAATCAATCGCAAGAGTAAGAATCTCTCTAATTTCGAACAGAATGTTTTTTAAACTTTTTTCTATGGGCGCTATTTTTTATTTGCATTGTTGCTATTCGCTCATTATTTTTTTATTTTTTTTAATTCGTTTTTCTTAATTTATCATTCTTATTATTATAATCATTGAATTGATTGATAAATAAGTGTGTTTTACATACCTATGATATCTACAGCAGACCTTACACACTATCATATATATTAATCAAGTCACAAATAATGATATTCATTATTTTTCAAAATTATAACTGAATCGATTTTTCAAAAAAAAACTCGAAAAAATTTAACATCTTTTATTATTGATTGTGAAGGTCTGTAATGGGGGCCTACGTTGCTAGGTGTCTGTAGGGGGGGGGGGGGGGCGCCCAACCTTGAACT